ACACACACACACACACACACACACACACACACACACACACACACACACACACACATAATGTAATACAGAAAAATTACATCTGAATTGTTTATGTGCTCACTCTAAGTAGGACACAGTATCAATCACCCAATAAGCATTGTAACATCAGGTGGTGTTTGGGATAAATAACCTCTTGGGTTTCTTCAATCCCACTATCATGCTTTCTATTGTATTTGTGACATTTTATGTTACACAAACTATCTCCAAATCCCCAATAACTCATTTGTAAAGATACTGTCATTAGTTTAATGTTCTTTTGGTTTATACATATTGCTGAAGACAAATTTCTTAATTCAAAAACTGGGTATTTAACTTAAGCTCCACAGGGGATTTATGTCTGTTGAGTGATATATCTATTCACTCATCCACTCAAGAATACTCATGAGCAGCTCTTAGAGGAGAGAGGGCTGAGTCTGACAGCCACCAGGCTACGCCCTCCTGGAACACTGAAGAGTCAAAGAGTAGGGAGTATCCAGGAAGGTGAGGGCAGAGGTAGGGAAGGAAGGAAGGGGCTCTGGGGAACATGGAAGAGAGGTGCCCCTCTCACATTTGGGGAAGCTGAGAAAGCTTCTCTTAGGAAGAAACCTCCATCACCCATCCACCATGATCACTGTGTAACACCGGTGCAGATTCATGGCAAGAACAGAGAGGCCATATAAACTTTCCTTCACTGGTGGAAAAAATACTCCAAACCGTAATACTTTAAATATGCACGAAGATGAGACCTGATGATCACTATAAATGCAAGGTATCCTTTACAGAGCCTGACAGCTACACCTTGAAGACTCAGAATACTCCAAATGATGGCCGAGAGTGGCCTGTCCAGCATTTGATTTCCTAGCCTGTGTGGACTTAGTGTGCTCAATTTTACACATTGAGGATTCGAGAAATGGATAATTTGGGAGGCTCAGAGCACATACAGATTGCCTTTAAATTAGCCATCTGCTCCTCGGCACCTTGTAAGGTGATCCAAGATACCTTGAGTTTTCAAATGAGCACGAAGAGTGCGCAGGCACTGGCATCCTGACCTGCGGCTGGTGCAGCACAGGCACATCCACCCTAATAAAAGGTGACAGGGCACGCTGTCCACCCCGGACGCCACGCTCGGTAGCAGCCTTGGGACCCAGTGACCTGCTCTGCATAATTCAGCTGTGGGAGTGGGAAAGCCTGAGGCCTCCTCTAAGGAAAGCCCCTAATTTCGATCCCGGTGGGTCCATAGTGTTAGAAGAAAAGCAAATCTCCCATGGGCTGAAAGTGTGACAAATCTTATCATTTATTTTAGAGCTTGCAATCAGGAGGTTTTCTCTTTTAAAACACAAAACATCCCCTGAATATTTTACTTATCTCTCTCTAGTTCCTTTCATAGAATTAAAAGTAAATTAACCATTCAATGTGATTCTTAGCTCCAAGGCCAGCTTCCCAAACTGTGTAAGTAAAGATGCTGCTGAATGATTTAGCTATTTATCATTTCAAGTTATATTATTTCTAATAATCCAGAAGGTATGTCACAACAAAACCATGTGGCAGTGCCAACGGATTTAAAGCCCAACGAAGATTTCAGAAGTATTTTTATTGCAGGCCAAGGAAGGCTGTCAGCTGATGAGTTTCCAGGGCCCTCTGGCCACAACGGCTGGGCTGCCAATCACATAACACACCCAGGGAGAAGCCCCCTTGAAAGTTTTTCCAGATTCATTCAAAGTGAAACAAACAAAAAAAAACAAAAACAAAAAACCAAAAACCCCAAGGATACATATTAAAAAACAAACACACACACACACAAACAGAAATGTGGAAAAAAGGAATTTTCATGGTGACAAAAAAGCAAGCTTCATTGTGCACATGAAGGTTTCACCGCACTGAATCAGGGTGTCCTTGATTAAAACAAACCATGCTTGGTTCTAATATGCCAAAAACCCGTTCTTCTCCTTGTCCTCTTCCCCCACCTTTTTGGAATCAAACAAGGAAAAGGCTCTCTGACCGTTCCTCATGGCAGGTTAATGGGCACCTGTGTTCTGATTTATTGCGCCTGCTGCCTTCCCTGGCCCTGTGTTAGGTAGGGAAATCAGCACGGAAGGTGGCTCGGCAGGAGTGACCTTTCGCTAATCACTGCACCTCAGTTACTACTGGCACAGCTCATTAGAAGAAGGAATCCTTCAACGAGCTGGCTTTCAAACACAGTCACACTTTGATTTTTTCGAGAACAAAGATTATACTTTCACATAAAAGCTTCTGATGCACAGTTCTGTCAACTGGGGCACTACAGTAAAAAAGGCGCCCTGTTAATTGTCTGTCATTATCAAGGGGCTGCAAACTGCATCAAAGATAGGCCTGCAATCCCGGCTTTCATTATGGAGGTCAGAACATCTTTACTGACTATTATTCAGATTTTAGAGGAGAGTCAATCATTTGGCTGCTCTGGATATAGGAATCTGGCTGGAAAGCCCCCAGTAATCAATCTTATTTATAAAAACAACAAATGACTAGAAAGTCATTTGTTGATCCAGTCATATGTTGATATAGATGCCAAGCAGGATTTCTCATCCCCTTCATTCTACAGCTGTCATGCATAGGGAAGGTGGGAGGTAACCTAAGAGGTAGCAGAGACAGTTGAGAGCAGGAGGTTCCAATGTTAACACCTAAGACAGAAAGCTAACAAGTTTGATGATCACTCTTGGTTCTCTTCCCCCGCTGCTTCTCTTTGCCCTGAGAACCAACCCCAAATTCTGACAATGGCATAGTCAAAGGAGAGGTGTGCTTCCTGACTTACCTGCCATTTGTTGAATGCCACTGAACGCACCCAGGTTGCTGGAGGAGGTGGCCTGCTGCAGGAGCTGCGGATGAACGCACAAGTGCAAAGTCAGGGCAAGGTGGAGAAGGTGAGAGCAAAGTAACTTCCTCATTAAATTGGGGAAAAATTCAGTTTACTTTGCATTTACAGAGTTGGTTGCTCCTGCCTACTGATGGGCTGAAGGTCCCAGAGCTGGGGCTGTAAATCCATATTCATGTCTAATCTCTATTCAGAAACACAGACACTGGGGAAACTCACTAACACTGCTGCCTTAAAACAATTAATCAATTTACTCTTTTTAACAACCAGGTGTTAAATCTATTGAAACCAACATAGCATGACTAATTATTTCTCTCTGTAGTCTAGCAGTTACCATAACTCATCTCTGTCAATCAGGGTCCATTCCCTCCCTCTCTTCTACTTTCCAGCACTGTTCAGCTTTCTTCACCCTTCATCAGAAGCACATGGAATCACTGACTCTGGTGCCAACATAAAGATCATCATGGTAACTACTAACATGAATGCGTCTATTCACAGCCGTACAGCTGCAGCCCCCACTGTATGACCACGCAAATGGGCAGCCGTTTTAAAAGTCTTCACTGCAGAGAGAAACATACAGCTTGTCAAAACTGAGAATTGTCTGGTGCTATATACGTTGAAGTCACGCATTGTGAATGTCAATCTTCAAAAAAATTAAACTACTTGTGAGAAAGTCTGTTTTCCACTAGTGCTTTCAGGGATCCATTTTTCCTGCCATGCAGAATGAATGGCTGCCACGAGAGAAAGGCCTGGAGCCCCCGGAGTGCAGCTGCACTTGTCCAACGCAGCTGAACTGCAGGTTAACTGAGGTGAAATACGGAGCGCTGGGCTCTGCTTACTGCTATTCTTTTTAGTAAGGTAGATCAATACAAAAACATACAGCTGTCTCCTGTATTCAACTGTACATGGATACCAGAAGCACAGATTTGTCACATTTATTGTCGAAATACTGTTGTCATACTATGTGCTAGGAGGAACAAGATAACATTCACTATTTTAGAAATAGCTTTCAGAGCCAGGTGTGGTGGCTCCCATCTGTAATCCCAGCACTTTGGCAGGACAAGGCAGGTGGATCACTGGAGGTTAGGAGTTCAAGACCAGTCTGGACAAGATGGCAAAACCCCCATCTCTACTAAAATTAGCTGGGTGTGGTGGTACATGCCTGTAATCCCAGCTTTTCAGAAGGCTGAGGCATGAGAAGTTGTTTGAGCCTGGAAGACGAAGGCTGCACTGAGCAGAAGTGGTGCCCCTGCACTCCAACCTGGGTGCCAGAGCAAGACTTCGTCTCGGGGGGGGGGGGGGGGGGGGGGTGGAAAAAAAAGCTTTCAGAATTTATTTGGGGCTCTGTGAAACAATCTAGAACACTGTTCCTCTGGGGAAGTCCAGGTCTTTCCAGTTTGATATGAAAAACTCTACACATGGATATGACTCAAAAATAGATCTCAAGTGAGGTAAAAGTGCCAAGCAGTGTAGAATTATCAGTGGCAGATTCCAGCAGTCCCCAACTTTTTTGGCACCAGGGACCAGTTTTGTGGAAGACAGTTTTTCTACAGACAGGGGTTGCGGGAAGGTTTAGAGATGAAACTGTTCTACCTTAGGTCATCGGGCATTAGATTCTGACAAGGAGCAAGCAACCCAGATCCCTCGCCATGCGCAGTCTACAGCAGGTTCGTGCTCCTACAAGCATCTCCTGCTGCTGCTGATCTGACAGGAGGTGGGGCTTGGGCAGTAATGCTCACTCGCCTCCCCTTCCCTCCTGCTGTACAGCCCTGTTCCTAGCAGGCCATGGATGGGTACTAGAACCCGGCCCAGGGGTTGGGAACCCTCGGCTGATTCAACCTAAGCCTCAGGCACAATATTATGGGACTTCACACTAACAGGTACTAAAACCAAACAAAGTCTGTGTTCACTCATCCCTCTGATTCCTTGCCCACACACATACTCTTATATACACAGAAAGAGGAAGAGAGTGAGGAAGACACAGTGGGAAAAGCTAGGGACTGTCCATTGTAGTAGCAAGGCCTTATTTGGTTAGATTTGTTGTGTTTGCATTCTCTTAGGCTTATCAACTCCAACTTCCTCCTCATATTCAGTGTTTTTAAATTTTTAAAATTAAGCTAGCTGTGAAGATACTTTGAGGAGTTAACAACAGCTATGGAGGTAAGTGGAAACACCAGAGTGTCATTAAACCACCACCCAGTATTATTGCCATGGATAACCAACCTCTGGTGAGCCAGGGTCAGAACCTATCACTCAAGGCAACTGAGGGCTCCTTCAGAGAAAGGGCTTTTCAACTGAAAGGGAGTAGAACAAACATGGCCAAGAAAGAATCACCCACAGCAGAGGGAAATGCAGTGACAGCATTTAACAACATGTTTCTATAAAGGAGGCCGAGATTTACTGTCCTTCATGTACAGAAGTAATTTGCAGATATGGTCCCCAAAACATGTGCCTGAGACTTCTGTGAGCTGTGGGGCATAGGAGATGTGCTAGAAGACAAGAGTGTTCACGTGTCTCAATTTTCAGAAATGGTGGATGGGAAGCCGGACTCTTAGAGAGTATGGGAAGGTGCGTATGATGTCAGCCTCGGACAAAAATTCTGGTGCATATAATTAAACCAAGTGTCTGTGCACAACTGAACAGCTCACATTTGTGGGAAAAAAAATCACAGTCAAGCTAGGCTTATTTTTTTAAAGCAATTTTTAGACTGATAAGAAAACAATGGCAGAGCAAATATAGATTTCAGCAAGACAGCTGACAAAATCTCTCATGGTATCTTCATGAAAAGGTATAGAAATGGAGTGAAAGTGATGGCAAGCTGAGCCAATGCTTTTGCTAAGAGCACAGAGGAAGACAGGAAAAGGATGTTTCTCATTCATTAATCAAATATATATTGAAGAGCTATTATGTACCAGACCCCACTGGGCACTGAGGGTGGGGCAGCTAAAAAGATGAAAGTGACCCACAGCAGCACCCAGAGTCCTCAAAGAGGCCGTATGGCCAGCTGGCAGGACATGCAGGGCTGAAGTCTCATGGGCCACAAGAAGCTGGTTGATTCTGGGTTAAGTTACTTAGCTTCTTTGAGTCTCCCTTTCCTCATCTGCCCCATAAGCAGGATAATCTCACCTTCCAACGTAATAGGGAAGATCATTTGACAAAACAGCACAGCTTCTGCTACAAAGTAAGCTAATGGGTGATAGGATCCCAAGAGGGATAGTTAAAATGTAAAATGACAGAATTAGGACCCAAGACCTGTGGGGTGTATACACACACCCTCAGAGGCTGGAATCAAAGGCCCAAACCCACAATATGAAAATATATTCATACATGTGAAGTCTAGCACTTATGTTCCAAAGCAGAAAAATGGGGTAGAAGAGCATGATTCAGCAGGAATTATAGTAAAGATAAAATCTTTAGAGTACTGGCTGCCTTCCAGCCCACATCTGCCCTGGTTACTACAAATCCCAGTCTCAAGCTCCAGTCAGAGGCCCTAAGTCCACACTAGGGGTTACTACTGCGTTCTGTTCAGATCTTGCTGGGGGGAGTGTCTTAACTTCTGGTCACTGTATTTCAATAAAGATACCGACAAAGTGAAACAAGGAACATGAAGAAATCATGATCAACCAGAAAGCTCAAATTCAGATACCATGAGATGTAAGGAATGGCTGAAGGAACTGCATCTGCTGGGCTTGAAATAGAATAGAATTTTGTTGGTTTCAAATAAACAAAGTAAGAAACACCGACCTGACATGGATGAACCCAGCAGCCTCCCTATCTTTAATCATCAGCGGCATGTCTTCTGATTCAGGGTGTTGGGGTGCCTTTCAAACACTGGTTAGAAGTTTAGCCTGTGGGACTTTGCCCAGTCTACATCAGGCAGGAATCCAATTATTCCTGTTCTTAATTGAATCAATTTAACTTGGAAAAATATCCTGCATAAATGCTGATTTCAGTAATTCCCCAAGACTGAAAATGTAATGAAAAAGAATGCCTCAGCGTAGGGAGGGAAAAAGTCAGTTTGCAGAGTTTCAGCGGGTGAGGACCTTGCCGGCACTGCCCAACACTTACCGCCAGATACTGCGGGGTGAGTCCGCCCAGCCCCGTCAGGTTCCCCCAGGTGGCAGTGTTGAGCTGCTGCATCTGCTGAGCGAGCTGCTGCTGGAGGCGCCTTTGCTCTTTGTCCTTCTGAGTGTCAGCAAACTTCACCACGATAGGTGAAGAGCAGCCCTGTGGTCAGACACATTGGAAAGTGGAGAGGGGGTTACAGGCTGGCGGAATCCACTCACGACACTCAGCACCGGAGCTACCTTTCTGCACTAGCCTGGAGCACATGGAATGGGCTGAAATGGTTTAAAATGGTTTGATATTCCTCCTTCTTCTCTGAATAGTACCATCAACAGAAAAATCCAGACATTGCCAGTGGTTTCTTTGAGGGATCTGGTGATGGGTAAAGTCACCAGCTTTCTTGCTCTGATTAGTAACGGCCTCTCCTCTCTTCCTGTGTCTTCCTTCAACCTTGCAGGACCTCCTTACAGACACTAGACCTTACCGAGGTTCCTTAATGGAGCTTCATGGTTTTGTCGTCTTAAAGACAGACTTGGCTTTGTGTGTCTGCCCATGTTCATTGGTGGACAGAGGACAAAGGGGAGAATTTGTAATGGGAATGGCCATATCTCTCATTCATTCATCTTTTTACTCTTTCCAATTTTCAGTTATGTACCTGTGAACTTTGTGATTGTGAAAATCCTATTGACCCAGCAATAATAGGGAGAAGGGCTTCATTTTAGCTCTGTGGATGAGGGCAGGAGATATCCAGAGAAGACAGGCATTCTCCAGAGTAACCGTTCAGGTTTTCAGAGAGGCCTCTTCCCTCAGCACACCTGTGCTACCCGTCATCCCGGGAGCTGGTGCAAACTCAAAAACCAGAAGCACGTTCTAGCCAAAGGAGATAGACTGTGAATGGCAGACAGAGGAGTCATGGGCTTCTTTCCCTAATGAACCTCCCCATTCTAGCAGCTTCTTTCAGTTTTGATTTCCTTTAAAAGGCAAGGAGTAGGTGGTAGTGAGAAAGAAATGGCCAAAGGTCACAGAATTCACTTTTGAGCTAGATAAAATCATCAGGGAAGATAATAGCCTGACACCTCAAGCGCGAAGACCTCCTTTCCAAAGCACCTTTCCAACACTCGCCACTTGCTAAATAACTCAGCAGCAGTCTCCCCTCCTTCCCTAGCCTCTTCTCCTCCTTCGTGTGGCTTGCCTACACATTTCATCACAGTTAAAGCTGTTCAGTTTTGCTGAGGTATAAAGAAGTAATTCTACCCAAGTGATTAAAAGAAAAACTTTTATTGAAGCTCAGCATGATAATAGACCTCTCTCTCTCTCCTCTCAGAATGTTATATTCCTATTTAAATGAGTTTCTCTGTTCCACTCCCTTTGGGTCATGTTTCTTTTTTCTGGAAAACAAACGCATTTTTTTCCCTTATCACCTTGGGTAGTTACTGGGGATGCAGTTCTGAATATACGAGGATATCATGTCTGCTAATAAAAAATCGTGAGAAAAATGAGATGAGTATTTCAGTGTTCAGCTTCCAGCCTATTGGTCTTCAGCTCTGGTAGGCAGAGTTATGGTACAGACTGTTAAATGTTAGTAAACTGCACAAAAATCCTATTTCCATCATTTAAAAAAATCTGTAATTCATTTTTCTGTATCTGCTCCATGTTTCAGTACTTTATCACTTTAAAGAGAGCAATATACTTTTAAGATTATGTAGAGAAGGGGTTTTGCATGGAAGAGGGTTGTTATTGTCCCATCAAATTTGTTCCGTAACAAATTATAGCATTTCTCCTAATAGAACATCTTCCTTAAAGACTAAAAAATGATATAAAAGTAGAAAATTAGGCCTATGATTATAGCTTAAAAATGATTTACTTAAACCATGAAAAATAGGGAAGAGAGAGAATAAAGGCAAGTGGAGAAATAGAAGGCACAATATAAAATTGTAAGACCTTGTTCTTTCAACATTCACATCATTGTGAATTAAGTAATACATCTTGTTTAAAGACGTATGCCAGAATCCTGGAAATAATGTAATTAGTTAAAAAATAAACAATGTTAGTCCAACAATTATGACTGTGTAATACATATCCATTTAAATGTCAATTAAAAGAAAAAACTAAAAAAGAAATTTAAGTGTCAGAGGGTCCCTCTGTGTAAGCATGGATGTCCAGTTTTAAAAACAAGTATACCGAATTTGGTTTTTAAGTAACACAGACATTAATAATAATAAAAGATGAAGGGCTTAAGAACAAACATGCCCCAGTGCTCTAACAAACTCTTTCCATTATGGGAGCCTACTGTTTCTCAGCCTCGCTCATGCCCAGTTCTGCTTTATGATCCCGAGTACTCCTTCTACGGGAACACAGGGAACGTGATCTCCCACGGGTTCTCCATGGCTCCGTGAGCATTACTGGGGGGCTCCACGGGAAGCAATGGGGATGGCAACGTTTCTAACAGAGGTGAAAGAATTGAAGTTAAAAAAATTTATCTCAGGTGAGGCCAATTTGGGTACGAATCACTAAATTACAAGAAATAAAAATAAGAATGACTGCATATATGGAAGATAAAGACTTTTTTTTTTTTTTGCCCCGATAGCATTTCCATTTTAATCTTCAAACTGAATTGAAGATTAAAATGTGGCTGGAAATCAGGCTAATCCACAGGAATGGAACAGCCTCAGTAAGAGAAAGAGGGAAGCAAAACACCATCACATGTGTAACTGCATGTCAGACAAAATTAGCTTCCTAGACATTCCAAATCCTGCTCATTATCTCCTATCGTGCCCGATTTTCACCTGAGTTTGCCTTCAGGTAGGGGATTGTGAGTGTCTTAAAAATGCATTGCACTGAAAGGAAAACACATTGATTATATAAGATATGTTAGGAATATCAAAGTCAAGATGAATGTTTGAAAAAGACAATAGGCTTTGCAATGCTGGTATCACAAGTCAGAAAAGTACAGTCAACACTGAATGACAATGCCATGCACACTCCTTCCCCCCTTTGCACCCACCTTTCGATTCACTATAAAAAAAGTTGCCCACAAAACATGACGCATACTGATCACTTGGCTCCCAGCATGCTTTGGGAGATGCAGCATTGCAAAAAACAAACAAAAACAAACAAACAAAAAATAAAACCCCAACAAAACAGGGGTAAAACAGAAGCTCAATCAAGAAAAAAGTTTTCTGCATATTAAATAAAATTGAAAATATATTTTTTCAAAATATAAAAACATAGCTTCAGATAACACCACAAGGCCACCTCCAGAAAAGATCACCCATACACAAAGATACAGTATACATAATACAGCAGAACATGCACTCCCAAATGATTCTATCAGACAATACAGAAGTAACGGCATATCACTCTTGGAATGCTTTTGTGCAAAATTCTGAAAGGCCATGACCCAAATCACAGACTAAAAGTATAGAGCCATCTAGCTATGTTTGTGGGTGTACAGCCACACCCGGGTAGTCACCTTCCCCTAAAGCCATGATCTCTCATGAGGAGACCACATTTGAGCCTTTATTATGTTTCTTCATTATTGCTCATTTTTTAGGAAGGAGACAAATCCTATTTTCCAAATTTGCATTTACACTGTTAAATGCAGTGGGAGAAATAATAACTTTCTCCAACATTCTTCATGTAAAAACACAATGCTGCTTGACTAGAATAAAGGTAACTTGACCGTGTACGAAAGAAAGAACCCTGGGACTCAGCACAGGGCAAGCAGCAATTTGGGGTGGGGGCTGTTACTGTTTCATCCACACTGACCCCAGGGTGGGGAACGTATTTGATCCTGTAGGTCTAGAATGACACTTTGCTTAAAGTGCTCACAATTTTACACCTCAGGACCTGTGCCACTGCAATAAAAGGCTCAAAAGAAATAACTGGAGAGCAAGTGGAAGGTTTTACTAAATGCATTTCAAGTCATTAGGGGGAAAATGCCGAGGGGGGGAGGGAGAGAGAGAGAGAGAGAGAGAGAATGAGAATGAATGAATAAAAACTGAGATGGTGAAAGTTTACATCTGTGATTGTCATGTGAACAATCCACACAGGAGAGAATTGCTTTACCATTCCCCATCATTTGCACAAAGAAAACAAAGAAAGGGCAGATGATACAGTACCTCCATGGTCTGAGACTGATGCATGGCTTTGATTGCATTCTGTGCCATTGCCCTTGTAGAAAATGTGACAAACGCACAGCCTGTGGGAAACAAGGGGACAGGGAGCAGGAAAGACAAAAAACAACAAGACAAAAGGGTTGGACGCTTGTTAAACCAACACAGTCTACGAGAACTGCCACAAGACGACACTGTTCTCAGTAGTACATAAAAATAAACAACTTCTCTCTTTGGTTTTATCTTATTTTGCTTTTTATTCACAGTGCTGACTTGCTAATCTGACCAAAGCAGAAAGACGTATTTATTTATTAGTTTATTTTTTAAATGGAAACTAGGGGAGGAAGTTGGGTACTGTTTTTAGCCACAGGGTTTGAAATCGGCAAGATCTAGTTTGCATTTTCTAAAATAAAAAGTTGCTATTTTCCATTTTCTCCTTGACTGATGATCTTTACTGAAGGCATCCACACATGAGGGCTTTGCATTTTAAATTTTATCATTGATTTTTAAAGGGACAAATAAGAAAATCCTCACACCAAGAGCAAATTAGCAAATAAATTTCAAGAGCTCAAAATGTCAGCAAATAAATGTATCTAATACCTTCTGAGTAGTTTAAAAAATATATATGTATAAATTGTTGCTATGCAAATACAAACATATATATCAAATCTGTTACAAACTATTTAGTAATTACTAATTATTAATAAAAACAAATGCTGTACTACTCCGAGAATATTCAATCCTGCTATAAAGTAAAATGTAAAAAAACAAGTGCACTGGCATTTATCTGCATAAAATCTTCATGACTTTTGAGACTTGTGAATTTCTGAAACATATCAAAAATTTGACCTCAAGTCTAACATACACAAGACAATGTACATTTCTCTGAATATCTACCGGGAGACCAGTGAAACTTTCCATGCCTATTTTTTCTTGTGCTGTAAAATGACTAGACTCTGTAGTGCCTGTTCCTGCTCCTTGTACCAGCGCTGGCCACCATGCAGGTCACTGTTCCAACTACACGGCTCATTGCCCTTTTCACTAATAAAAACACTGCCTTCTCAAATTTACATTTTATTCATCACGTACCCTTGGGCTTCTTAGAGAAAAAGACTGTGAAATTAATGCAGATTCAGGCTGATATTTTAATAAAACCGCAGCACACTAAAAGGTTAGCTAAAGCAACACAGACTTATTTCACTTATGATCTCTAATGACTTTAAAAGTGCATTGATTTTCAGCTTCTTTAGCCTTGCACATTTTGAACTTAGGTATCAGAGAATAATTTAGTGTTCCACTCAATTTCCTCAAAACATTGCTATTACTACTTAAAAGATCTCCAAATGAAGCAAATCTAAACACTGAGAGGCTGAAGCCTATTGTCATTTCAGAGTGAATGCATGAAAAGCAGAATTCTGGCATCAACAATGCGAGATTGTTGCCCCTGTGGCCAATAAGCAAAACAGAACATTCTGCATTCCAATGACCAGCAGATTGTTTGGTTTATGTAAATCAATTTGTAAGCCATAAAATATATTTTCTTCTTTTTGCTCTGCACGAGTACCTGGTGAGATTATCAAGTCAATACTGTCGTAGCACCTTTTAATCAAACAGCAGTAAGAGAAAGCAATGCTTGCCGGTTACCCCCAAAGCACAACGACATCCAGTCATGAAAATAAGTCAATGCATTTTTTTTGCATCATGCTATAATTTTTAATATACAAAAAACTCTCAGTACATGAGAAACTCATCTTACATTCGCCTCTTGGCTAAGCTGGCTTGAAGAAGCCTGAATGACGTCCAGCTCACGGTCAATGCTGAGCTGTCTCATGTGGTTTTCCGACAGCACAGCAGCTGATGAAGCTTACTATTTGAACACACTACCTGTACTAAGACTGACTGCAGCTTCTGTCATCCATAAAAACAATTTAGTGGCCTTCTATAAGGCAGCTAGATGATATAAGTGTGGGACAGAGGACAGGACCTCCACTGGCTTCCATACTGATGCTGAGCTCTGAGATGATCCAGTCCAAATGTGCCATCTGTTTCCAAGTAACATCTCTTCAGAAGCATTTTCATCATCTCTGGCATTATTAACAGAGGAATTAACACTAAAAGATTTTTATTTTTCCACTTCTTATCTTGAAACTACAATGGAGGAAAAAGCAAATCATCTACTGGAGATAGATTTGAAACCAAGCAGAGCCTGGACTAATTCTGCTTTTAATAGTTAAAAAGATTGCTGCATTCACTTCACTGGTTTTTCTTATCCAGCACCATGTGCCAAACTGACAGTTTCCAAATGGAGGTTAAAAATGTGTAAGAAACATATAAAATGTCAACAAAAATCAATAAGGCACAGTTTATGCATTTGCCACAATTTCATATAAGCAGATCTTTTTAAAGTAACTTAGTGAGAAAGATACAGCAATTATCAGGCCTCAGAAGAAAAGCATTACCAATAGAACAATAAAATCCTGTTCCTAGAAACTCAAATCACTGCCCTTTCCTCTAACAAATCTGCAATTAAAAGCCTGACTAAAAATACAAAAAATCAGCTGGGCATGGTGGCGCATGCCTGTAATCCCAGCTACTCAGGAGGCTGAGGCAGGAGAATTGCCTGAACCCAGGAGGCGGAGGTTGCGGTGAGCCGAGATCGCGCCACTGCACTCCAGCCTGTGCAACAAGAGCGAAAACTCCGTCTTAAAAAAAAAAAAAAAAAAAAAAAGCCTGACTGATACTTCTAATTATGCAATCCTTACCCCACCCAAAAAATGATCTGACACATCGGAGGACTTCTTTAACCTTTTAATTCTATTGGCAGTGGTGCAGTAAGAGAAACTGTCTCCTTAGGGGCTTCTGTCAAGTTCTGCACTGTGTGCTGTGTTCAATTACTTGAGAAAAAAATTACGGTGTCATTTATAAAGTAGGAGTGCATGTTGAAAAATGTCACTTTCGGTGTCACTCTGGATGAAGTCAAGCAACTTCAGAGTCAAATGTTTCCTGCAATGGTAGCTTGTTAACCACTGTTATTTCTCTAAAACAGGAGGTCATGGTAAATCCTATGGATAGATGTTAGTTTTCAACACCAGTGAAAACACACTGGTGGCTTTAGGATTAGGCCTCCAATCTATGGCTTTAGACTAACACAGGATCACGTAAGTCCCTACCATTAAGACTGGCTGCTGGCTTTTTTTCTCAAACCAACCAGAAGGCTTTCCATTGTTCAGCAGTAACTTGGGTTTTAACTATCCCTCTCTTCTACTAAACATGTGCTTCTGGGTGCAGTGGTGTTCACTGGGTCTTTACAGGACAATGGCTCTAATCTTGTAGGGACAGCCCTTAACCATTTTAGACTGTTGAATGTCATGTCTCAGCAATTGGCTCTTTGCCTACTGACCAAAACGCTGGAGAAACAAGGCTGGGGGAAAAAAGACACAGGTATTAAAATAATGAAGCCACACTTCTTTCTTTTTTGGTGGGGAGGAATTCTGGTAAGATAGTATGTATATTACTGTCTGAAAACCTCCACATATATAGTAGCAAAAAAAAAAATCATCTGTAAATTTGGCCAACCTACAATTTACCTTTGCAATTATTTATTATCTCTGCTTTCAGAATGTTAGGGATTGCCAACAGAAATGAAAGGAGCTGCATTCCTCTTATTTCAGTGAGGATGCCTTCTTGCTGCTAAGACAGATAAATGATTGACTGGGGAAAGGTTTCTCAAAGTAATTTCCTCCTACAGACAAGATCTAAGGAAAGCACGTAGCCCTGTCACAGAGAAGATTTTGGAACACATCTATTACACTTGTCATTTCAATTGAAAGGATATCTTAACTCAGGTGTTCCACCTTTTTTCTCAGCTGCAAGAGAATTGAGAACTAGATGAATTCTTGCTCTGCACACACACACACAAAAAAGTACAGGTACTTTTAAAAGCATGAACAATGCCAGGGCCTCTTGCTTTTCTGTGTTACTTCTTTGAAAAAGGTGTAGTAGCCACTGTACTTCAAGTGAAAGAAGTATAACTTAACTAGTGTAGTACGAAGGAGATTTTAACCTATGGAAAACTTCTTTACAAATTCCTAGTCAGCCAAAGAAAGATCTGAATGCAGCCAGTCATGGTAACATAAACATATGTTACCAATATAATCTTGGGGGATAAAAACTAACAGTCTGATGTGCCATCCCTGATGCTGGGTTACTTCATTTAAAACTGGCATGCAGACATCATTCATTTATGGCATGCGAGGCTGGGAATAGACTAGGACCTACTTAATAGCTGGCAAAACCTCATCACTGAGGTAAGATTGGAAGATTGTATTTGGAACAAGATGGCAAATGCAGTCAGGAGTCCAGGGGGCATGCCACGAAAGTTCCCACACATCTGGATGTTTAGGTACTGTGTGGGCAGAGCCAAAATGTGTGAAAACTGATTCTTTTCTGTGTACATGTTTGTTGTTGTTGTCTTGAGATAGCATCTTGCTATCTTGCCCAGGCTGGTCTTGAACTCCTGGGCTCAAGTGATCCTCCTGCCTCAGCCTCCCAAGTACTGTGTACATGTTGTAATAGTCAAAAGCCTATCCCTGTATCCTGATCAGATATGACAAAAACAAATGAGAATTTAATAGCTAAATCCAGTCTGTACTTGCCAACATCCCTGAAAATATTGCCAATCCATTTGTCAAGGGTTTTGGCAGGGGAATGTTGGAACACCATAAACACAGCTGGAATATTCTTAAACAAGCAGAAAGTTACCTTAAATGGCAGTGAAGATTTGTCTACAGTTTGTGGGGGGAAAATGAAATAAACTCCTTTACTGTCTCTGGGTTAGAGATATTCAACTGCAATGGTGCAGAAAACCCTGTACCTAAATAGCCCATGCTGACTGTGGGATTCTGGGTAAGTGAGAGCGTGTGTATTTTGGGAAATCAGTATGCTAAGGGGATGCTGTCAATTAAGTACATTTGGCTTAGAAAGTTCAGGCTCTGTTTTTAAGAGCAAACTCCTCATTTGAACTGCCACATGTGGGCCCACGGCATCCTGCTCCTTTTCTCCACGAAGGCTTCCACAGCAGGCCTGGAGAGGCTGAGCAGCCACTGCAGAAGGAGCTGAGCCTCCCATAGTTGCTTGGAAGCATTTCAGTGTTTTCCAAGTTAGAGAAGATGCAGAAGGGGTTACTTCCTTAAAGGGAGAAATGCATATTGAGATATGGCCACACTGCCTCAAGCCAGGAAGTGTCCGCAGATCTTCAGTGGCTCTAAGTGCTTGGCAGGTGTTAGGTGCTTTCTACTTAGAGAGTCATGACAATTTCCTGAGTGTATCTGCCCTGAAATATGGGCCGGGGCTGGTGAATAATGATGGGATTTTAAAAATATTTTTTTCTTGCCAATAGGTAGATCACCACTTAAAAAAAAAAAAAAGGCATTGATTCTAACTGAAAGTATAGCATGGCTTGATGGGTATAGCTGTCGGTCAGGGCAGGGCACCTCTCTGATACAGTGGGGCAACCAAGTCAGCCAGCCTGGAGAAACCTCAGTCTAATGCCTCTTAGGAAGGGCCTGAGGCTACTGAAGTGGCGGGGGAGAAATGACATTAGAAATCTGGGAGGAGCCAGATAACCCAGGTCCTTCCTTTGTCTTCATCCTTGTAGTGAACTGGGCAAAGGCAGACAAAGAAAGGTGAACCACTCAGCTGCACTTCTCTCTTACCATAATCCAAGAGTTTGATTTTAAAACTTTCTCACGGAAGAGGGTATACCCTGGTTTTGTATTAGAAGGTACTTTGCAGAGCCTTTGTTTCTCTTAATTTTTATTTAAACAGCTGAGCCAGCAATAGACATTAAGAACAGAAATGCTGAATGCCCTTCATCTGCAGTGCCACTAATGGGAGACACTTACTAATATTGGGTTGAAACTGCAATACCTTAATGAAAGTAAAATGGCAGCATGAAAGAGAATTATTCTTTTAACAAATACACTGATTCAGGAGCAGGCCCCTGTAGCCAAGAGTCCCTGGGTGCTGCTAATCGAAAAACGTACCACTGTCTGTCTTTATCTCTCAGAATAGTTATAAATGAGCATTTTCCTTTTTTTTTTTTTTTTTGGGCAATAGGGAATTCTCATCAATTCACCAGAAATTACTTTTCTGCTGTTAAAAAAAAAAAAAAAAAAAAAAAAAAAAAAAAAGGGAGGAAGGAGTTTCCTCCTCTTTATATTGAGCCAGCATTTGCATAAAATATTGATGAGAATGCTCCCTGTCACTTGTTGCAGGAACAGGCTGCTTCTGGTGTCAAGTGCTGGTTAATCAACCAAATGGCAGATCAAATTAGCTAAGTTCTCTTGTTAAGTACTGTGTATCCTGCTCTTTCCCATGGAGGTTCTGGCTGCTTTAAAACCTGATCTGCAGAAATAACTGATGTATGCTCAAGGAGCTCTGAATGCTGCAGGCAGCAATGCTGTTCATTACTGTCCCCACTGGACAGACAGAGAAAGTGTGCCAGAGAGTCACTGCCTAGAGCAGCCAGGCCAGCAGACGGGGAGCAGAAATCAAGCACACATACTGCCTACCTGGGGTCCCTCCACTAACCCATGCAGATTGTATGCGCAGGAGAAAGCTACCACACCAGTAACGAGTGACTCCCTGCAAGAGGAGCAGGGCAGATATATTTATAAATGGGGAAACCTCAGGACAGAGGTCAGAAAATAAAATTACTGAAGTTCTATTTCATTTCAGTAGAAGTTGTGGGACTGGAACTTGGGGTCAACACCCCCTAAGCCATGATATATTTCATCATGATTAATTTAAGGGCTCTCCTTGTGCCATTTCTCCTTACCTTGGAGAATGAAAATTACAAGGGTTACACTGAAGTGTGATTGAGAATAACAACAGAATAGGGATTCTAATTACCAAATTGGCACCAGAAAAGGGATTACAAAACTATTATCATATCTTCCTACGTATTTTATTCTTTGCTTAGCCACACTTTTTCCCACAGTACTCTCTCTCCTAGTTTCTCTTTAAGTGGATATATATGTATAGAACGACTGCAGGAGAACTGGACGACCAGGTGTGATCAGAAGCTCTGCTGGTTTGAGTCACTAGGAAGGCATACTAGCAACCCTTGGCTGGTAAGGCTGTTCAGGAGCCAGAGGTGGTGTGGTCCATCACAACAATGGATGGCTTTGCTTGCCCCTGATGATGGCACAGGTGAAAAGCTGCAGAGGAGCCCCAGGTACTGGATGTGCTAATCCAGGATCACACTCAATAGAATGGCTTGTTCAGCTTTTAGAGAATCACATCTTTTAAGTGAGTGTTATATAACACAAATTTCAGAATTGTTAGAGAATGCATAAACTGTGATTTCTATGCCGCCTTTTTTTTTTAAACCACCTTCAGAAGAAAACACAGGAATCAAAAGCTTGGCGTGGTTCCACCTCCTCCTTGTTTTCTTCTAGACTACCTCCACACTGGGGCTCTGGAGGTGGCTGTAGGTGGGCACTTTTGTTCTCCAGGCCTTCCATTCTGGCAACTGACATCATGAAGCTTTATGTTTAAAAATCAAAAGAACAAATGTGCTTCCTCACATGGTACTGAAGTTAGGTACAACTAGTGAGAGGGGTGAAAACTCGTGCTTTCATCCTCATGACCTGACCTTTTCTTTCAACACGTGGTCTGGGATGTCAGTGCTGGCCCAGAGCCAGAGATTGAGAATGAAACCAAGTTCCTCATTTGCCCCACAGAAATTGCCCTGGTAATTACAGTAATAAAAGAATGAAAACCTTCTCCATGTTGCTAAAAATATGGATTTCTTGCAAGAAGAGAAAAACACATTTTATGTGTACATTTCCACCTCGGACTGACTCAGGTAACAGCAGTCAGACGAATTGTCAACCTCCAGTGTCAGCCTTTATGAGTGGTTTCAGGAAGGAGGTGTGCAGCATTGTCAAGGGAGAGGCCAACAGGGAAGAGAATGGTGATTTCCAAATATTTTGTATAGCTGATCGCAAAAATACTGGCTTATCATCAAGGCTCTCAGCTACAGCTTTCGCTTCTATTGTGGTGGCAAAGAAGAGCCTACAATCTTCTTCAGGGAAAAGTCATTTTTCTGTCACTTAAAGAGCTCCCCTGGTTCAGGACTCCAGGAGTTTTGCTCTCTGAAATAAAACTCTAATACCCCAAGACAGGCCCACTCACCCCACATTCCTATCTGCACTGCACTGTGTGTGAACACTGATGCTGTTTCCCTGGTTTGTGTCACTGTGAAGAGGACCATATTCTTAACATTTCTTTCAGGCACAGGCAGAAAGCCTGATCACTAAGATGAAAACAACAAATATCCTTTCTCATTTTCTACCTCTCCTTCTTGCCCCCCGACATCCACTTCAATTTGATATTGAAAAGGATACCTAGCAGTAGGGCAGCCTGTTGGCTTCGCACCTGACAGTGATAACTTGAGCTAATATAGTGGCACCAAGACCTTCTCAACTTGAGAAATAAAAGGTGATCATTTCAGCTATGGTGAAAAGTTCAGGTTGGATAACTTTATCACATGGGATGTATTACAGGGTGACCTCTTGCTGTGTGTGGTGCCTACATCTGTCTCGACTGTGACACAGGGCTCCAATTAGCACTTAAGGGGAGAGGCTTTACAGACAGCACACTCACCTCGACTCAGCCCATCAGGTCCCCGGAGGATCCGGCATTCTTCTATCTGGCCAAATGGAGAAAACATCACCCTGATATCATTCTCATTACATTTCTTCGAAACCATTCCTATGAACAATTTTCTGTCTTCCACAGCTAGGAGATAAAAATAATGAATGAGCAAAGGCCATTTCATTTTTTTCCTTGCAATCAATGCTCCATTACCCCATCAAACCAGGCCCCAGCCATGTGAGACCAAGCACATGTCCCAAGGCCCACTCTGCAGATGTCCAGCCACTCTTCTCCCTCCATGCGCCCCACCCTGCCGATCTCTCCCACCTGGCACTTCCTGAATGCCTCATTCTCCCTGTGCACTTGTTATTAATAAAATGTTTTAATACAACATGGAATGCTGTTAAGTTCTTCTCTCCTATCCAGAAACTAATAGTAATGTGGTGACTAAAATTTCAAATGATTGTATAACTGCTCAACACTACCATTCCTTGGGTAAATTTTTGGATACAGATTTTATTCTGGGTTTTTTGTAGACATTCTTTTAACCTGAATGACAGGGACAGAGAAAGGTCAGGAGAGGAAAGGCAACAGGGGTGGATGGAGCGAAACAGCAAATGAAACTTTTAACAAAGCATTCGAGAGAAGAAAACATTTTTCTGTTTCAAATAGCTTCATCCCTGCTGATCCAGACAAGAATAAGAGATCAGAGAGATTGTCACTTCTCTGGGGAGCTAGGAAAGTACCTCTTTCCTGTGACATGGGTGATTCCATGCTAACCAGGTCCCATACCTGGTTCTAACCAGCCATGTTAATTATAGCTCAACAGGAAGCCAATTCTAGGGAGGAGAATGGGGTGGCTGCTGCTGGAGAAATACCTTAGATGGCCCCAAGCGCCTGGCCCTTCACAAAAGATCAAGGAGGGAACAGTGCTGTGCTAACCACTGGGAGGCAAGATTCTCGGGGACCAAAAGTGCATTTGGGGATCATGAGGAAGACATGAAATTTAAACCTGGGCACCTGACAGGGGGTAAGGTAAGGCAAGGTCTACCTTGCATGGCCCGAGAGACTTTCCTCAAAATCTGTGTGCATGTGCTCAGGACATGTGAACTACTTTCAGCCTGAAAGGCAAGGTTAAAGCTGATTTTAGGACAGTATTTGGGTATTTGGAGTCTTTTTTTTAGGAGAGGCGCCTTTTTTTTTTTTTTCTTTCTTTTAAGGACATCACAGACACCCATGGGGAGAAGTCCTGCTGCTTTTCCATCGTTTCATTTCAATCTATTTTTTAGAATTAAAAAAAAAAAAAAGCCAGCTGCACCAGACTAAAGAGAGTCCCAGCCTAGAGGAGGCCTCTGCCTTCAGTCACTTGCACATAAATGTTTGTTTTGAATCTGCATTATCAACTTGTCATTCTTATTTAATTGGCTTTTCTTTTTTTCTTTTTTTTTTTTTTTTTTTTTTTTAAGCCTACCCTGGTCAGGAAGTATCTCATTTTCATTTAACCAACGAGCACTTATCCCAGACTTACTGGGGCCAGTTCCTTCTGGATACTCAAGCTCGGGTCTGAGCTGCGAAGGGGCTGGGGCAGGTGTACTGGTACCAGGTGGGTTCCTCTACCGCAGAGCTGTTGACACAGAAGCTGAAGCCACATGTGGCTACTGAGCATCTAAAGGGACTGATGTGACTGAGGAAGTGCTTTCTAAAATGTAATTTTAATTAAAGAGCCCCAAAGGATTGCTACATGGGACAGCACAGCCCTAAAGTGCCTAGTGGAGAGTGCTAGAGGCTCCTCTTCATAGAATTCCAGACCCGAAGGTAGAGACCGAAGGGAGCTTCTGTCTGTCTCCAAAAGATCTCCCAAGGTACAGTGGGGGAGGGACCTGCTAGGGTCACCCAGCATGGCCCACAGCCGGAGTCCTCCTCCCAGGCCAGCATCCCTTCCCCTGCTGTGTCTCCTCCAAGTTCAGAGGAGGCTCACAGGGGAGAGCGGCTGTGAGTGGGAGACCAAGGCTGTAGGTCCAGTGCTGCCATTAATTTGATAAGTGTCCTTGGATACGCTGACCTCTGAGGACCTCTGTTTTGTCATCCATGGAATGAAGGTTTGAACTCTTCTCTCTCCTAGTAATGGAGAGAAGGTGGCCCGTGACGTACTCAGGCTGACTGGAGCTCCTGAGGCGGGGGACGGTGAGTGGAGGTCAGAATCCCTTCCACCTAGCTCTCTCTACACTGTGACAGCTCTTGGGACACCTCAGAAACTCTAGGGCTCAAGTAACGCAAGTCGAAAGCACAATTCCACAATACTTGTCAACTATGAATTGTATACCCCAGTGTCTGAGAAAGGCTTGCTGGGAGATGGGGAATTCAAGCTGGATGAGGGGAATGGAGAGACCACAGGTGGGAGGGGAATGAGGGCCTCACCAGGCGAGGTGCAGAGTATGGAGTAGCATGGACCTTGTGTGGGTGGACGGAGGAAAACAGCCTGACCTTAGGACAGCATGCCTCTTCTGCTTCAGCTGCACAGAAGGAGCTCAAGGAGGAGAGCATCAGCTGGCCTGAGCCACTGCCTATGTTCAGACTCAGAGGAGACACAGGTAACAGGCACCATGGGCTCCGATTCCTGGGAGGGAGGCTACTGAGGACCTGACCTCCTATATGCCAACGGAAAACTTCCAATTAAAATTCTTTCTCCTCTGTTCAGAGAGAGCAAAGTAGCATGGATCCGCTGTGAGCTGGTGAAACCTGGTCAGTCATGGGCAGCACAGGCCCGACAACCATGCCAGTCATACAATAGATATCCTGGACAAGGAGGTCACCTGCAGGCTGTCCACACCACCCGCTACAGGCCGTCTACACTGCCAGTGCTCACTAACACGGGAGGATTTTGGTGGGGGAGACCCTGTAAGAATGCGATATTGCCGTGAAGGGGAAGAGGATAGATGGGATGGAAAGTGGGTAGAATAGGGAAAAAAATCACCGTGACTCCTCCTTCCCTCTCATCTCCGAGATTCCTACCCCTAGCAGAATATGGCTGACATTTTTATGAGAGTAATAAAAAAAACCCTGTTGTGTTCCTTCTTACCCTGAACACTCTGGTTTTAGTTCTTTTAAACAGAAGCAAATGAAAAAGTCCCCCTAAGTTCTTGGTTTCACTGGTAAACCTATAATTATGGTATTTAGCTAAAACAATTTGTAGGCTTCGAGCTTCAGGGGGATGCCATAGTAAATTAAACATGCAGCTCCTGGGTAAGCTAAAAAATGATTTTTTTCTAAGATGAATATGAAGAAAATGGAAACTACTCAAGAAATGCTGACTTCCTAGCCATCACTCAGGGTCACCTTGGCCAGGCAGCAAGAAGAAAGATAACTCCCACTTTTAAAAATAGCAAGTATTAGCTAAGAAAAAAAAAGGAAAACTCCATCATCCATGTTATCAAAACGTTAACTTCCGTCTGTGTGTGTGTGGTGTGTGGGCTTACTTGTGCATGTGCACAGAAGTGCTGGGCTTCAGGACTCTCTCACTGGCCAGTGTTGTTCTGTGGTTTCAACAGTTGGGCTGTGTTTGCTTTAAAGGCAAAATGGGGAGTACCAAACACACCCAGCTTTCTTCTGAGTTTTGGTTTTCCAGTGACACGTTAGTCATACAATTCATTCCCCTAATTCCCGTTCTTAGGGTCCCTAACAGCTTTGTAAACATTCTACAAAAACACAGTTATCTTGAATTCACTTGGCTTTTTCATCAACTTTTGATGACCGTCTTGGTGAGTTTTCACTGGGCACTACATACGTCACTTATTTTTTTCAACCTACGGAAGTCAGTTGTTTGAATAAAACGTACTGTGTTGAGAGTATTCTGCTAGGTGCTTTAAGGAAGTAAAAAAAAAAAAAAAAAAAAAGACTTAAAAAGTAAGGTCCCTGCCCTCTAGGGACAAAGTCATTTTCCATGACAGACACTGAATGAGGGCAGGGAAAGGCTTTTACATTTTTACATATGACGTGCTGCACAGATGGTGTCCCCCAACAACAGTAACGATGACCACAGAATCAAAAGGGGTTCCACATTTAAAGTGGAACGGCCGCCATTTAAAGTCTTCCTTCCATGATATGAGAAGAATGGGTTAATACTTTAAATGTATGGGGTGACTTTTTTAAGTTAGGGGAATAGAAACTTCATTTAAAAAAAAAATTCCTAATTGTAAGTCTGTACTAACACCCTGGTGTACAATCTGTCAAAGTCACACCTGGATTTGGGGCTGCCTGAATTAATTAACAACTTTTCAATGTGTTAGTGCTAACATATGGCATTTAATTACTGCCTCCAAATCTGTGAGTCTCTCCACTTTGAAATTCAAAATTATTTCTTCATCTTGCAGTGAATCAGAAAGTGACTGGGTGGAACCACCCCGTGATTCCTATTTTTAAAGGAGGCTTTGCAGGTCTGCACCCTCTGCTGACAGTATTTACTTATCTCCACTCCCGCTAGCTCTGAACTTGACACATGGACACTGGAGGTTTTGGAGACCTTGAAAGAGAAACACACACAGCAGCCTTAAATGGTATTTCTGAATTCTAGGCTTTAAGGACCCCCAGCAAATTGTGAGGTTGGAGGGTTAAAGCAGGATGGATGGATTTGTGCTCTGAACATAGAGTAAAAACAAACAACTCCCCTTGTGACAAGAGGCAAGACATCAGAGTGAGTACTAGCCCCAGCCTCTGAGACCCAGACCCAGAACCAAAGCAGCTTCTGTGTTTGCATCACTCACTCCTAGCCAAACTTCAGCAACTGCTTGTGACCTTCAATCTCACATAGCTGGTACCTTGTTGGGCACAGCAATAGAGGATTAAAAGCTGGATGGCATAGAGAATGAAAGAGAGTAACTATGTTTCTGCTCATTCATGAGGGTGCATGAAATCCACACCTCTTCAAATACCCTGCCTGTCCCACCATTTAACTTTTTGCAGTGGGAAAATAACAAAAAAGGTGGATTCTGTTGGAAGGTAGGTGTTTGCTCAGTGTGCTCCTCTTAGCAGCCCCAGCAGTTTTTGCTTCTCCAGAATGGGACTGTTTTCCTTTTGGACAACCTCGCCCTACGGGAGCATGTGAATGGGAAACACAGGCCACGAGCTTCCATCAGTGTGCCAGAGGCTGCGGCTCACATCACAGCCAACGGAAAGGGCAGGTTCCAGGAAGCCACACAGACTCAGGAGGTCTGCCCAGTGAAATCCCAAGTGCAGGGCTGACCTGGGCGTAACCTAACATTTTTGGGCTCACCCCAGAGGTTCCCTTTCTCAGAATGGCTCTATAGACAAAAGCTACCATGGGTGACTGCTTTTCTGGAGTTCACCTGTCCATCGTGAATTAATCCGTGATTAGCAGCTCTTTCTTGCTCAGCAAATACAAAGTTTTAGCTATCTGAACACAGTGATAACGAAGACAGTAACTGTCTAACTGTGATGAGTCCTTTGTGCTCTCCATAAATGTCAGCAAACTCAATAAAAGTGCAATTAGAGCTCGTTATACTTCTTTCAAAACTACAGGAGCTATTTAGGGCAACTGAGCCAAGGAAATCTTTGTGCTCTCTGAGCTTTTGAAACTATGCTTACCTGTCAAAAATGCCATGTGAAATCAGAAAAGGCTTGCAGCTTTTGTCACTTGCTTTAGAAAATTACACACTTCTCCTGCTTCCTCAAATCAGGCCCAAAGAGAACCTCAAAGCTGTTCCTGTCTATGCAAGGTGAGGTTCCACTTGGGCCTCTAGAAAGAAAAGCCCTTTAAAAGCAGCCTTCAGTCCATTTATATTTTTGAACTTTTCTTACTCAAAGTTCAGAAAATGAAGGTCCACACACAAAGCAAAAGGAGAACTGGCCCAACTAGAAGGCTTGGGGATTTTCATTTGTACATACAGATCTATGCTTTGGTATAAACAGCCCACGCCTGGACAGGACAGCCTCTGCCCCTCAGAATGCACTGAAAAGGCTGCCTCAGTGAGGTGTCGGAATAACGGTGATTAACTTGGCGGAACTTAGCACACTGGATACTTCGTATGTGCTAGGTATTGTGCTGAGCGCTTTACAGATTTTAACTGATGTAAACCTCAAATAACTTTGTAAGACGGGCATTACAACAAATGTTCATACTACTCACTGGAGCCTCCTCTTACAGCTGAAGAGACATTGATGCTAAGTAAGATTAAATAACTGCCCAAGGACAAAACCAACCAGCACGGAGTCAGGGGTCAAATCCAGGCTTCTCCAAAGAGTTTTTTTTTTTTTTTTTTCCCCCCTGGAGACGGAGTTTCGCTCTTGTTACCCAGGCTGGAGTGCAATGGTGCGATCGTGGCTCACCGCAACCTCCGCCTCCTGGGTTCAGGCAATTCTCCTGCCTCAGCCTCCTGAATAGCTGGGATTACAGGCACGCGTCACCATGCCCAGCTAATTTTTTATATATTTTTTAGTAGAGACAGGGTTTCACCATGTTGACCAGGATGGTCTCGATCTCTTGACCTCGTGATCCATCCGCCTCGGCCTCCCAAAGTACTGGATTACAGGCATGAGCCACCGCGCCCGGCCAATAGTTCTTAACTGCTACTCCAGGCTGCTGCTTGGAAAACAGCATTTTTAGGTAACCGTCTCATCCTAGAAATAACGGTGCCTGATCCTCCTTGGCTTTTGTCATCATGCAAAGTTGGGAGTGCCCATGACAGTTTTATTATTTTCTGTGATTCTAGACTGAAAGCAAACATGATCCTCAGGGGCCAGAGTGGACACTGGACAGAAAGAACAGCAAAACACTCTGCAAACTCCTGGCAGCTGCCTGGAGTTCTCTAAGGCAGATGAATATCTGCACAGCAGAAAATGCAAAAGAAAAATATCCCTTTGTGTTTCAATACTGGATATTTCAAGTCAAATGTTTTCCATTTGGCTAATTTGTCATGTTTTTATAACTACAGCCAAAGTTTCAGAAGTGAGACAAACCCTTTCCACAGACTTTCACTCCATGGTCCTTGTCCTGACACAGTTTAGAGAATTATGCCAAAGACAGGGAGCATTTCTTGGTGGCCACACACTCTGAGGTGACTTGTACTAACAGGATTCATCCCAAAATAGAAGATTCACCTCTCCTCTCTCCCACTGAGGAACTGATCAGACTGCAAGGATGCACCTCCAGTGCACAAGGGCAGAAAGGAGCCAGCCTGGGTAAAGCGGTCTTTTTCCCAGGCCAGCAGGCTCCATGAAGTGCCCGCAGAGGCTGGGAGACCACCTCTGGGTGTAAACAGTAATCATCATTTTATAGAAGTGTTCTATCATTAAAGAGATTGTTACAAATACCTTATTTGAGTCCTGGGCTGGGGGAAAGTCAACTGAGGTGTGACAGTCACCATTAATCCCATTTTACAAATGCGGAGATTCAAGTTCAGTGTTTAAGTGACTTCCGGATACTTAAATCAGTAGACTGAACATTAGTTCCAGAAGGTCAGAGACATGGGTTCTTTTCTTCTTTCTTTTCCTGCTCGCTGCGCAGCCCCAGCCCCTAGCAACATGCCTAGCGCACAGTAACTGATGCATTAAGCACTGGTGAATGTAGGAGCAGCGTGGCTCAGTCATGGGCCCACACAGCAGCAGGGGATTTGACAACTTCTGGTGCTAAGAGTCAAGTTTGTGATAAAGCAGTAGAGAAAATAGGAATTAACCCTAAGTAAAGTGCAGGGCTAAGGAGAAGACAGTGGTTAAAGCACCAAAGTCTCCTGGTAGAGAGAGAAAAGCTTTGTTAAAAATTTTGTGTTCTTTCTTTATATATGTATGTTGCCCAGGCTGGCCTTGAACTGCTGGGCTTAAGGGATCCTCCTGCCTCAGCCTCCTGGGCAGCTTTGACTACAGGCGGGGGCCACTGTGTTCTGCTGAGAGCTGAGAGAAGCAAGCTCTGGTAAGCCGGGTGCAGGGAGCACCACACTATGATTTGGAATTTTCTTCAAAACTTTCTAGTCTGTGGAGAAGCCGGAAAATGGAATGCACTACAATTAGCAAAAAATACCATGTGGCGAGATCTAGAGCCCAATCATAATTTACATTTGCAGATATGTAGATCTCTGAGTGCATGGCTTCTGCCCTGATTACTAATTAATGAGGTGCAAAACTGCCTGTTGGAAGGAAGCAGTACTGATTATGACAGTCTTATGGGACAGAGTAGCTCTCCAGTCTAGGATGGTAGAAGATTCTTTTAACATACATTTCAGTAAATTAAAAGAACAAAACAGGGACAGAAGGTTTGTAGAAATGAAACAAAAAATTAAAGAGGGAAATGTGACTATCAACTCTCTCGTGTCTTGAAGAGGCAAAACCCAATTATTTCATGGACCTCATCAAATGCATATTTTTGCACCAAGTGTACGTTTATTTCATCAGCAGACTAAACTCTGAATTCTAATGTAAATGTATTGGTGCAATTTGGAGAAGAGTACAATAAGGCAGGCTCCAAGTCCAAGAGAAACACATGGAAAAGGTAAAAAACCAACAACCAAAATCTCCCAGAAAGACAGCCTAAGTCTTCACTGGCAGTTCCTTTCTTGCTGACATCCTCTGCATCCCCATGAGATGGCCCCATATTGCTTTATTGGAGGAGACAAGAGCCAAATGCCACAGGACCACTATACAGGGCAAGTCCCAAACAGAAGGACACAGAAAGCCACTGCTCCTAACAGCCTCATAATCTCTACCCCAGAGATCAACGAGACAGGACAGTGGAGACTGCGTTCCTCTAGACAGATGAGCCACAGCTAAGGTTCCTGGAGCGCTTTCTCTTCTAGAGAGAAAAGCAGCCGGGCCGCCTCCTCCCACCCCCATCTGACTTTTTCATTTAAAGAAGCAGATATTATTAAACAAGACAGTTGGTTACCACGTACCGTTTGACTTTTCACTATCTGCAGGTTTCATCTGAATGGGATGATGCATCTAAAAACACAAAAGTGAGAAAGTAAAGGCAGATTGAACAACTGTAAAAATAATCTCAGAAATCTGAAGCAATTTGAGTTCTGATACTGTTTTAAGGGCACATAAGTAATAACAAGACTTCTCCCAGGTAATATTAACTACGTTAAAAAGCAGGCCCATGTTTTCAGGAATCAAACTCTTTTAAGTCACGTGGCCCCGTAACATAGCACATATTTAAAAGCTTGGGCTCTGCAGTCAGACTTGAGTTTCAAACCTGGTTCTGCCACTCAGTATGGTTTCTGCCTCTATATTATAGGTAATACTGCTTCTGCCATTTATTACAGCTATGCAATCTCGGGCAAGTGTCTTAACTTCTCTGAGCTTCAGTCTCCTCATCTGTGAGATGGAGCTAACATCTGAATTATAGGGCTGTCAGAATTAAATGAGAAAATGCATGTAAAGTGCTTCACAAGTAGAGGCTAAGATGTGTTTAAAACAACTTAGCTATTGTTACCATATTATTATAAAATTAAATCATGCAGACTTTTCTGGCCATCCTGTGTTTGTACATGGGTTTTTCTTAGGTCTCATGAGTAATCTGAAGATCTAGCAGTTGACTGACTCAAATGCTAGCATATAATTTTTATTAAATGCTAATACAAATATAGAATAGGAACACAGAGCCACTGAAGAATGAAAAGGATGAAGAGGAGGAGGGCAGAAGGGAGGGAGACACCCACCTTCCAGTCATGTCCAGTACATGACAGGAGTGGAGTGAAAGAAATTGAGACAGCGGGGCTGAGGTCCTGAGCTGCATTGGACTTGGGTGTCCCATGGCTCTTCATAAAATGCTGGTCACACCTGGTGTGCCTGGTCCACAGAGTGTGCTCCAATCATAAAATGCCACCACCATTTCCAATTAGAATCAATTCCTCAAACCACCTCCAAAGGGACTCCTGCTTCACATTTCACTGCACCCCAAGGAACACAGAAGCCACAGGGTGGATGGAATCACTGATGGCACAAATGCTTTTATTATAATGGGTCCCACTCTCTCTGAATCTTTCATTTCCCCAGTGGATGTCCATTCCTTGCCAGCCGCAGCTCTGGGTTTTACCTAATTTAAATGAAAGGGAGGTGGCACTTGGCTCTGGTGCCTTCATCATGGGAAATTATTATCAGGCAGTCAGCATCACCTGCACCTAATGTCTGCCTGGGTCTTCAGAATAGAGGAGGAGGGAGAAGAAAGAGGCTAAGCGAGCTGCCTCTTCCAAAGCAGGACAAGTCAACTGTGGAAAGCCATGAGCTGGGCTGAGGAGTGTGACCTCTATTCTAGAGTAATGGAGAGAAGGACCAGTAACTTGTCTGGGGGAGATGGACAGAGTCTCCGAGCAAGTGATCCACCCAGCATGCATCTATCTGGTTGTACAGCAAATATGGAAGAAACAGATAACCTGTGTCAGGCTCTAGGCCAAGGACTGGGAACAAAGGCCAGTGAAGAAGGTGCTCTCTTCAGGTGCTCAGTGTGGCAGAGGTAGGAAAGACGCTGCCGCCCACAGCCAGTAAGCACCCTAGCAAGAGGGTGGGGAGAGGCAGGACAGACCTTGGCACAGGAGTCCAGGGGTATGGGACTTAATCCTGCCTGGCGAGGAAAGCCAAGCTGGCATCTGGGTTGAATCCCTGGACGTGCCAGTAACCAAGGGGCACCAGCATGTGAAAACCATGGGACAGCCCTGCAGTGACCCAGCGAGTGGAAGGGTGACAGTTCCTTCCCACAGGAAGCTCTCAATGTGAGCACGGAGGACCACAGGAAGGGGCTGTAGAGGTGGGCAACTCCTAGGTCTCAGAGGGTCTTGCAAGCTAAGGAACTGAAATTTTGTCTGAAAGTACCTGGTCAGGTACAGAAAATTTAAGTAGCAAAGGCAACAAGATGGAAATTCTAGAAAAGCCATTTTGGCTGCAGCATGGGGGGTGGATCACAGAAGGGAGACATGGGCAGGGAGGACAGTTAGGAGGCTACTGCCACAGGCCAGGTGAACTGGTGGAGGCTGAACTTCATGGGTACTGGCTGGTCGTGGGGATAATGGAGAAGGGGAACTCCAGATGTGTACACCAGGTGGACTGTGGGATGACTGCCCAAACAGGGAAAACGTAAGCAAGGAGTTTCAGAGGCAGCTAAAGGGTGCAGGTCTGGACATGCTAAGTTTGATGTGACTGGGATGCAGAATGAAGTTGTAATCAAGGGGCTCAGGCTTGAGAGAGGGTACAGGGCCACAGAGAATGTTCCTGAGCATGGCAGTGAAGCCACAGGTATGTGTGAAACTGTCAGTGAGGGAATGAGGCATGTAAAGAGCTGAGAGACAAGGACAGAACTGCACAGAATACCAGGAAAGAGGAGTTCAAGGAGGGCAGAGCAAAGGGTAGAGGACGCTGCAGGAGTAGCTGGTCCCATGGGAGCCATGAGGGGAGAAGAGTTTCAAGAATGAGGGAGCGGTCGGCCAGAGCAACGGCTGTGAGGGGACAAATAATTTGGATTTGGCAATAAAAAATTCTTCAGGGAATCTATCAGAAGTAGGTTCTGTGGAGTGGCAGAGAACACCAGGTCACAGGAAGTGGAGGGGGAAAAAGAACAACAGTGGATATGGTGAATGAGGACTTCTGTTTTGAGATCACCTGCACAGCGGTTTAATAGGAAACTCAGTGGAGGATCAGGGGGTGGCAACTGTCCTTTCAAGACAGGAAAGACTTGTACAGGTTCATCTGCTGAAAAGAGTCTGATAAGATTCACAGGTTCAAGATATAGGAGAGACAAGGTGAGCAAACCTACATTATGCATGGGACACAAAAATGAAATGAACATGGCTCCTGCCCGCAGGGAGCATGCAGTCCATCATGGTGGTCGATGTGCATCCACATAAAAGCAGGGACAAACAGAAGAGGAGCACAAATAGAGCCCGAGAGCATTCAGATGCATCTGTCATCTGTGAAATACATGGAGGGTGTGAGGTAGAAATCTGGGAGCAGCAAAAACAGAACCCCTCTACTCTAAATCTGTAAAGAGACCTGGAAATTGTGCAGTCAGTGCTCTTGGCTGACAAGTCTGAAGGGAATAAGTGACTGAATGGACACAGGTGATTGACAAGAGCTGGGATTACAAAAATCTGATATCCCTACTCTTAATCCCATGACACCTTCCCTAAACCACACTGCTTCTCCATAAAATGTCCAATGTGGGACCTTGGCCATATGAGCCTTTAATTAAGAACAGCATGCTTCACTCACTAAAGGCAACAGACACATACTCATTTGAAGGCACCTGCAATATCCCCTTAGGGGAAAGTAATCTTCCCTTCCCCCTAACTCCCGTAAGACTTGATCTCTGTAGCTTTATGACTCGTATTACACTAAGACTGGACTCTCAGTGTTCGTGCAGCTGCTGAGAGAATTAGCTTGTGCTGCTCTAAGACTCCACAGAAGGCTCGGCAAAACAGCAGTGGTAGTGGTAAAACTGAGCTACTGCCACTGTAGACTTGAACTTCGTTTTGGTCTTTCCTGGGCTCAGCAGGGGAAAAATCAACTTCACGGAGCTGTGGACTGTCAGACCATGGTGAATTCTGAATAGGTGGTAACCCCACTTCAGGTATGTTCTGAAGACAAGCTAGATAATGTATGCAAAGCACTGTGACCTTCTTAGAGAAAGGTGTTCAATCAGAACTGTATTAATAATGGCTCATTACCATGAACAGTTCATTTGAGTTACAGATTTCTGATCACACAAGATGTAAATGTCAAGGATGACAAAAAATGGGTGGGAGGAGTTGTTCTCATAATACTGTTTCGCTTCCTCAAAATCTTCTGGCTCCACGAACTTTGGGAGATTTCTTCAGTAGCGAAGTTATTACGAAAGAGTGGACATTCCAGCGTAAAGTTTCAGGTTATAAGGATGGAAAAGAGAATTCTTTCCCTGTAACAGAAATTGTTTCAATGATTTGACCCAGTATGACTGCTGGTTTATTCACGTGTTTCTGTTTTTACCAGACGCTATATGTTCGATGCTGGGAAGAGGAGGAGAAGGCGTTCTTATTGTGATGGATCTTGCAGTGTGGCAGGAGGGACAGATACAGCAACCATTTCCCACAGCATGGTAAGAGGTGTGCTAAGAGCTGTAGGGTGAGAACTCGAAGAAGAGACACCAAATACAGATGGAGGAAGGACATGCTGGGGAAGATGTTTCAGATGAAGCAATGTCTGCGTTCATTCTCGAAGAAATCCAATGTTAACCAGATGATGTGTAAAGGACATTTCAGGGAAGAGAAAATAGGCCCTACGGTTGATAAAGAATGATGACATATCCCAATTAACAGAGGATGCAACAGAAGTTGTTAAAAAGAGCATTCACCGAAAACAAAATACCTAAAGCACAACAAGGCTAACAGTGAGGAATCTGTTCGTGGGCTAGACAATTTCAAGTAAAAAGAAAACAATGCGAATCTACTCACTCCTGAATTAAACCTTCCTTAGGCGCCAGGATAGGCCACCAGAACCCACACCCTCAGCACCCTTTTCAAGAGCTGATGATGAAATCAGTGGGGTCAGAACTGTTGCTTCTCAACTGCTTCCCCTGACTAGGGACCCTGGCCCTCCCTGCTGCCAGAGCTAGACGGGGCCAGAGGCAGGATCTCATGCTGTGCTCTGCACATGCCTGCCAGTCCCAGTAGACAGCAGGAAACCAGGGGAAGGCCCAGATGATGTGGGAGTCACTAATTTAATCTGCCTACTGTGTGGCTAGGGTCAGGGCTGAGGCTAGTTCCTGGGGGCTACCTCCTTCCTCTATGACAAGGGAGCACATAATCTTCAAGAAGTTTTGCAAGGAGTCTGAACTGAAGAGATGTGTGCTAATTAAACTGAGGCTGCATCTCCCAGCCGTACAGAGTGGGCTGTGACTAAAAACATCTTCAGTGGTCTGTACTGTCATGATCTGTCTATACTGTCTGATGAGTCTAAGAATTTTACACACACCA